AAAAATAATTTTTTAAATGTCTATATAGTTTCCTTTCTAAGTTGTGACATTGGGCCCTGTTAGGCAACATCTAGAGTTAATTGAGAAGCCTGGTTACTTCTCTACTACAATTTCATATTGTCTGTGAATCCATAAAGTCACATCCTGGTACTGGAGAGATGACTTGGCGGTTAAGAGCACTGGCTGCTCCTGCAGAAGATCCATGTTTGAATCCCAGCACCCACATGGCAGCTAATAACTGTCCTAACTCCAGTTCCAGGGGACCTGATGCCCTCTTCTGTCCTCTGTGGGCACTGCACTACATGGGTACACTTATTCATGCAGGCATAACACTCATACACATAAAATAAAAATAAGTAAATTTAAAAATAATAAATAAAGTGCACATCCTGTCTTCTTCAGATGGGACCTTCTGGGCAGCCCCACAGTGAGGTTTCTGCAGTGAATTCCTAAGGTCAGGATGGTCATCAAAATTTAAGTACTGCCGTTTTCCTGCATGCCTCAACAGATACTTATTAAACCAATGACTTTCTACTATTTAGCAAAAATGATTTTTTAAAAAGTCAGGTGCAATGGCTTGTGTCTTTAGGCAGTTGGAACTTTATGAGGTTCAAGGCCTGCCTGGTCAACTTAGTGAGTTCCAGGCCAGCCTTGGCTATATATAGTGAGACCCTGTCTCAAAAGAAAAAAGATAAGGAAAAATATGTTTAAAAACACAATCAGGAGCTGGAGAGATGACTCAGTGGTTAAGAGCACCAGCTGTTCTTGCAGAAGACTCGTTTGAATCCCAGCACCCACATGGCAGCTAACAATCATCTGTAATTCCAATTCCAGGGACTCTAACACCCTCTTCTGTCCTCTGTGGGCACTGCACAACACAGGTGCACTTACATACATGTAGACATAACACTCACACATAAAAAAATTTTTTAAATACAGACAAAAAGATAATCTAACTTTGAAAGCTTCTCAAAACATATTTTTAAAATAAAATTCTAAATCAATTTGAAAACAAGCAGCTGTCAGAAAATCCTCTCTGCCATGTAGAGTAAAACCCATTTGTTTACAATTTAATACACTACAGTAGGTTCTACATGCTTGGAAAATCCACTTTGATTTAGGAGTAAGTGTGCACATGTTTAATTGTCCTTAAAATGCTGCTAACTGACCCAATTGTGTCACAGGGTCATTGTGTCAAAGAGACATCTATCAATGATAAGAACAATTGGAAAACTATGTCCAATGCCTTTTCTGTCATTGATTTTACTGCTGCTGACCTTGAGGTAAGGGACATGGGGCTCTGTATGGGTTTGGAGAATAATCTGTCTTCTTGGGGTTTCACTGTAGCCTGCCAGACTCAGTAAACAAAGGCATAGAACAGGGCTGGGGGCTGGCTCAGTGATACGGGATGGACGGGGCTGGCTCAGTGACATGAGATGGGCAAGGTACTGGCTCAGTGACACAGATAGGGCTGGGAGATGGTTCAGTTGATGAAGATTTGGGACAGGGCTAGGGGAACAATTCAGTTGGTAAGGTGCTTATCTCACAAGCATGAGGACCTAAACTCCATCCCAAGACCCTACATCAAAGCTGGGTAGGGTGATGAATGCTTGTATATCCCAGCACTGGGGAGGCAGAGGCAGGCTGATCCCTGGGCTCACTGGCCAGTCAGCCTAGCCTACTTGGTAAGCTTCAGGTCAGTAAGAGAGCTTGTCTCATAAAATAAAATTTAAAAAGTGAACCACACCCGTGAATGACACCTGACATTGTCCTCTGGCCTCTACACACGTATGCATACATATAAACATGCATAACATACAAAACACAGGAACCTTGTAACACAGGCATTTTGAGATAAATAATGAAGAATATTTTAGTATAACTATGTCCCAAATACTTCATATAAAGAATAATAAAATCTCAGTCGTAGCCTATTCAAAATTCAAATAGTAACTGGGCAATTTTGCCTTTTAGTTGACAAGTTTAAGTTTTGAATGTTGTACTAGGAAGTGGTGTGTCTCTCCCCTCAGGTGAAGTCTAGGTCCGACAATTTGGATCCTGTAGACTTAAAGATTTATTCTTTATTTACATTTCAATTTTGAAACAAGCAGCAATAAATTGTGGCATGGGTAAAGGCTGTGTCATAATTTGTCTTTTTCCATTTTGATTACAAAACTATTCATCTTTCAAAGATCAAAAATGTAGTTTTAGAAAATGATAATAATGATAACTAAAACCATGGCAATTGAAAATTAAATGGTTTACCTGTAGAGTTTGTGTTGAGAGAGGCTCCTACTACATAATCCAGGTTGGCTTGGAATTTGTGATGCTCCTACCTCAACCTTCCAAGTGCTGGGATTATAGATATGCTCCACCCTAGTGAGCTGGGGGTTTGTTTTATTTAAATGATTTTACAAAATGTTCGTGTATTTATATGTTGTGCTAGAGACTGAGAACTGTGTCCCCCACCCTCACCTCATTAAGATGAGTACTACCAGAAGTGACCAGGGCCATTTCTGGGCCACAAGGCAGCTGGCTCTATGACCTGGGACTAGGGGAAGGAGGTATATTCCCTTCGGCATCTCAATGCCATTTGTCACCAAAGTGCTGCTGTCTTCTCTGTCACTGTCCCCCATTTGCCCACTCCACACATCCCTAGAACCTCTTTGGAATCATTGCCAGCGTCCTACACCTGGGGAACATTTGTTTCGAGGAAAACAAGCATGGCTGTGCCACCGTTCCAGACACACATGAGATCAAGTGGATTGCCAAGGTGATGCTGCTTTTCTGAAGGGCACAGAGGGTGGAGAGGATAGCCAAGTCCCCATGTCCATAGTAACCCAAGTGACCAAATCCACAGCATCAGTGATGCTGATAGGAGGGTTAAGGAGCTAGGATACAAGAAAGATCCATTTTTGTTGGTTTTATCTTTTTTGAATTTTGGTTTTGAGACAGAGTCTCAACATGTAGCCCAGGCTGGCCTTGAACTTGCAAAACTCCTGCCTCAGTCTGAGTGGTAATATCTTATAATCATTATAAGTGGTCCACCACACCTGGCCCAGTGAGGCCCCCCTTAGCCCTAAAGCACAATGATTAGTGAGACTGTCTAGTGAGACCTAGACAGGCCATGAGCCCTTCATAAGCAACTTAGAGGAAACCCAGTCTCTGAGCAGCAACTGGATTCCTTCATTCAGCTCCTGGGGGTCTGCCCGGCGATTCTTCTGGAAGCTCTCACCCACAGAAAGATTGAAGCCAAAACAGAGGAGGTAAAAATGGCTCTGGGTGGAGATGTACCTGCCCTCCCCACCGTGGCTGTCTGCCTCAGATGATGGCATGCTGGGGTCCCAGCCTCATCCCACATCCCCCATTCCTCCACCCTCCACCCTCCTACTCCCCATCTTCTACTTCCTACCACCCTATCCCCCATCCCCACCTCTCTATCCCCCACCTCCTCAGCCCCTAGCCTCAGCCCTACCCCCTATTTCCCCACCACACCAACTCGTGCCTTCTGCATCTTCTCTCCACAAGGGTCCTTTCACAAGCTGTTCCTTCTGCTGGAACACCTTTCCCTGTTCTTCATCCTTCAGTGCCCAGAGCCCCAAATCAAGGACCCTTCCTTCACCACCACCTAGACGTCATATACCTCCCCACAGCACCTGTCACTCTCAGCCTGCACTGTGACTTTTCTTTGTGTGATTCTCTGACTGACTGTCTATAGAGCCCTCCCAACCTCTTTCCCAAGCTGAACCTTGAGCCAACAAAGACTAGGACCATATGTCTTGGTCACAGTCCCCTAAGATATAGCCTTTGCATAGTCACAATTAAAGACTAGCTTGAAAACTTAGGTGGAGGTGGGGATTGTCTCTGTCTGTGTTGATGTACCCTGTCCTTTTCAGGTGATATGCCCACTGCCAGTAGAACTCTCTGTCTATGCCAGAGATGCCATGGCAAAGGCTGTTTATGGACGGACATTTACTTGGTTGGTCAACAAAATCAATTCCTCCCTAGTCAACAAGGTGGGTCAGCACATTTTGGATTTCTTGCTCTTACTAAAGTGGTAATATCTAATAATCATTACACTTAATGTAAAACAGTTGTAAGAATGGACTGTAAGTTCCTCGCAGGCAGGGATAATATCTTTGCGTGTCCATTTTCCAATGCCTGACATACAGTAAGCTCACAGGCATGCATACCAGATGACTTTGTAGCATGTCCCAAAGTCTGGTATGCACAGCACCTGTGGTAAGCCATATGAGTTTGGATGCACACAGAAACTTTCAGAAGTCATATATTTTAATGAGCTAAAAATATATTATTGACCTTCAAACTCATGCTTAGATCATATTTCCTTTTTAAGTGGGATCAAACAAGATGGGAGTTTATTGAAAGCTAGAAGTCAAAGCATGACTCTAGGGCCTCAGCTGGGGAACTCAGACTGGGAAGGCATCAGCTCAGTATGCTCCTACAGAAAATCCCACTGTGTCCAATTAAAAATAACATGCAGGACTGGAAAGATGGCTCGGCAGTTAAGAGAAGGCACTGTTCTTGCAGAGGACCTAGAACACACATCAGGCAGCTCACAACCTCCTGTAACTCCAGTTCCAGGGGCTCCAATGCCTTCATCTGGCCTCCACAGGTACACATGGCATGCGCTTACACACACACACACACACACACACACACACACACACACACAAAATAAATCTTTAATAATAAGAAGAGACCCATTCTCCATTGTTGTAACTGAGAACTGAAGCTGGGTAATTGGTCAAGAATAGACATATACATATACTCGCCTTACAACTCTGGAGGTTGCTGTGTCCAGAGAGACTTCATGCTGTATCCTGACGTGGTGGACGGTGTCTCATGGTGAGGCAGGACAAGTACACTAGCTGGAGTCTCATCTTCTTTTTAAAAAATTTTATTTATTACTTTTATTTTGTGTGTATGGATATATTGCCTGCATGTATGTAAGTGTACCCGTGTCATGCAATGCCCATGGAGGTCAGAAGAAAGCCACAGATCTCCTGGAACTGGAATTACAGACAGCTGTTAGTCACCATGTGGGTCCTGGGAATAGAACCCAGGTCCTCTGTAAGAGCAGTCAGTGCTTTTAACTGCTGAGCCATCTTTCCAGCCCCAAGTCTCCTCTTCTTAAATCAGCGTGGGTGGCCTTACCTCATGACATCATCTAACCCTAACTGCCTTCTGAAGGTCCCACCTTCAGATACCAAAGACATGAGTACGGGTATGTCTCCAACATGTAGACTTTGGGGACAAACTAAAACCATAGCGTCAGTGCTCAGCGCCCACCCTTGCTGTAGAAAGCAGTACTCATATCACATCCTCTAGCCTGTACAAGCACTTCCTTAGTGGTCTGTTAGGTTATTTTCTTTGATTTTTTTTGGGGGGGGTGTCTTTTTAAAGCAGAGTATCTCTATAGTCCCAGCTGGCCTGCAGCTCACTGTATAGACCAGGCTGGCCTTGAACTCACAGAGATCTGCCTGCCTCTGCCTCCCAAGTGCTGGGACTACAGGCATGCGCCACCACACCTGGCAGGTCATTTTCTTTGATCATTTTGGAGTGAATGCAAACCTTGGAGGCTGAAAAGACATGACGCTAAAATGAGTTGGAAAGAAAGGTGTTGCTTTTCCTGGGAAGCCACAGGAAGATCCAGCTGTCTGCAGGATTAGGCAGGAGGAACAGGCAGGGGGAACAGGCAGGCGGGCCCTGTGAAACACTGTCAAGAAGACACAAGCTTTATAGATGAGTCCCAACTGTAAGGGCGTTTTGAGTATTACAAAATTTAAAACCTAACTGAATTAGTCCATTTTCCATTACCATAATGAGTTGGGGAAGAAAAAAAGGTTACAGATTGTCTGCTGGTGGTTTCTTGCTGACAGTGTCCTGGAGTGACACAGGGTATCCCATAACAAGCATATCCACTTGTGTGTCTCCTCTGGTCACTTTCTTTCTCTTCTTAGAAGGCCACCAGCATTGGATCAAGGAAGCGCTCTGCTCTGATAGTCTTCTCTAGGCTAATTGCCTCCCCACAAAAACCCCACCTCCAAACTCCATATTCAAATTTAGTTTCCACTCTCTTAAAACCTCACCATTGGGATTCAATTTCAACACAAGAACCTTTAGGAGAGGGGTGGAGAGATGCCTTCGTAGTTAAGAGCACTTGCTGATCTTCTGGAGAATCTGAGTTCAATTCCCAGCACCCACATTGGGCAGCTCATCACTGCAGTTGTTATAAATGCTTGTAACTCCAACTCCAGGGGATCAGATGCCCTCTTCCGGCTTTCATGGGCACCTGCACTCATGTGGCATACACTCAGGTACACATACACACACAAATAAAAAAATAAAAAATAAATCTTTTTAAATAAAAAGGACCTTCGGGAGATAGGTAGACGATGAAAACCACAGTACTAGCTGTTAACAGAGTGCATTATTTCACCAGGATTTCACGCAGAAGACTGTGATTGGGTTGCTGGATATCTATGGTTTTGAAGTCTTTGACAAGAATGGGTAAGCTTGCTGCTTCCTGCCTACCTTCCCTTGTCTTGATGTGGTTTGAGTCTAGGTCTAAGTGACCACTAATGAATTTTAGATTGATTGTCCTGTCCCTAGAACATCTCCAGATTGGTATAGCCCTCAATTCACAGACTGTTCTCTACCCCTGGGCTACATCTCCAGCTCCTCACAGACCATCCTAGAAATAGACTAACCAACAAAGTGAACCTGTTTCAATTTGATTCTTTTATTACTTATTCATTTATGAGTATTTTCCTGCATGTATGTAAGTGCACCGTGTGTGCAGTGACTGTAGAAGTCAGAAGAGAGTGCTGAGTCCCTAGAACTGCTGTAAAGTGTGGGGTCTCTCCCTCTGCTCGTGGGTCATTGGCCACTGGTCCATGAGGACAAAGGGAGCAGAAGTGATGAACGGGTCAGGATGGCCAGTGAGCACTGATGGAAGAAAGCCCTTCCGGGGAGGCAGGTTCAGTGATACAGCTCCAGACTCAGTGAAACAGCTCCGTTTATTCAGTGGGGGTTAGGGAAAATATAGTGTGGAGGCAGCAGCCAATGCTTCAGCTGATAGGTGCTCATAGTATGCTTTATTTACATGTGGCAGGGGGATCCTATCATCTGACTATAGGGCAATGCCTAATTATCATATAGAAAAGACCTGGGGGCAGTTTTTATTGCAGGTAACTATGCCAAAGGTCATGTTTTGAATAAGGTCAGGCATCGCGCTTG